TAGCAGTTGTGTTAGATCCGAGAGACGAATTCGGCGATACTGGCGTCCAATGGTCGTGGTCGGCATTGATTACTTTTTGGGTCGCTAGAGGACGGGCCAAGCCAACGGCCAAGGCGCCGACGTCCTACGGACGGGCCTGGCGTGCCGTGCCAAGCCGGAGATAATTGATCGTCATCTACAATGGCGAAAACAGGGAAGGAGGGTCCGACAACCGCACCACGGTGCTGATGAAAGTTTTGCTGATCGTTACCTGCTCATCTCGCGTGGGAGAGGGGCTCTGGTGACCCGTGGGAGTCTCTCAGTACTGTCTGTCACTGCTTTTGGGGTCATGTCATGCGGTATAGCGAGTGATCTGTCTCATAGATAGTGCATACGACCTCTATAGATCAGGGCTGATTGGCCCTCGATATGATCATAGCTATACCACGATCCCAATTACCAGCAAGTGTTGACCCAATTCTGCAAGATTTGCAGGACTGGAATAGATTTCTTCCGCGTTTTCTCCAGCGGATTTCATTATTGATTGATAAGTTGATAACTTGATCCGATCCACTTGGATAGATTAGAATTCGAATTACGCCTATCTGATGGGCCCAGCCAATCCACACCTTGGAGGAGTGAGGCTTGGCAAGCTTTGCTTGTTAGTCTGCCTACCCCCGAGTTTGTCACGGTCCAAGTAGCCGAGATGAAGGATGGTTCCCCCGCCGTTCTAGCAATACTTAAAGGTGCAGATCCCTCCCTCTCAGGTCCTACAAGAACATTGTCTCTCACAACAGTCTCTCGCCAAGTCGCATCTACTATCATCTTTTTCCAGCTTTGACTGGGTAGGCGACATGCGTATTTCTGCTGCTTTTGCTTTGGCTGGCCTGGTGGCCGGCTCGGCCGCTGCTGGCTGCCCGTACGCGGAGCGCGCCAATAACGCTGCTGCTGCTGCTCCTGCGGGCTGTCCCTATGCTAAGCGCGCCGCTGCTGCTTCTACGAAAGAAACCCCCGGGCTGGCCCGTCGGGGTCCGATTGAGGGCAAGAAGGGTATCTTTTACAGTAAGTGATTGCCTGATTGACCCTAGTGATTCACGTACTTACGGACTCAAGTGAACCGCATTGGACCTTCCGGAGGACAGTTATGGATCTCGAATGCCGACGGCACCAACGCGACTCAGCTCATGGGCAACCAGACCAATGCTTTCGACTACCACCCTACATGGTCTCCTGATGGAGAGTGGATTGTCTTCACCAGCGAGCGCCGCGGTCCGGGTCAGTCGGACCTGTACCGTGTTCGCTTGGATGGTTCGGGACTGGAGACACTTGCGGCCACGGACTCTGTTGAAGACATCGGTGTTCTGTCTCCCAATGGAAACAAGCTGGCCTACGTTTCTACTCAGGGCAACTACACCACCAACATCTGGGTCAAGGACCTCACCTCTGGACAGGCCCAGAACTTGACCGATACCGAGGCTAACAGAGCCGACAACACCTGGCCCACTGGTCACTTCCGCCCCTCCTGGTCTCCCGACGGAGAGTGGATTGTCTTCAGTTCTGACCGCAACACCGACTGGACCGGCCACAGCGATGGTACCGGCTGGGAGCACACCCAGACTCTGGGCGTGTACGCCGTCCGCCCTGATGGCAGTGACTTCCGCACTGTTATCCGCCAGGATGGCTACTCGCTGGGTACCCCCCAGTTCTCGCCCGATGGCAAGCGCATCATCTACAACAACATGACTACTGAGAACACCTACGGCTGCCATGGTGTTTCTGCTCAGCAGGAGGCTGTCACCGCACAGATCTACAGCGTAGACTTTGCTACTGGCTCCAACGTCATTGCTCACACCTCCGGTAGCTACCCTAAGGTCGGCCAGCACTACATTGGCAACTCGACCAACATTGGCTACTTGGTCAAGGCCGGAGACGAGGGTATTCACTACACCAAACCTGACTTCAGCCACCAGAACTTCAACCTGACCAACCTTCGCGATCCCTGGTGGTCCCCTGATGGCTCCAAGCTGGTCTACTGGATCCCCAACTGGACTCAGCAGGCTGCCGACCTGGAGCTCTGGAGCTACGACAACGATTGGGAGTACCGCTACATGGATGTCTTCCCCATGCACAACACCGTCGTGAACCGCATTGCGTCCACCCAGAAGGTCCTTGGCAGCGCCAACGGCTCTCTGGTCCACTCTTCCCCTCTGTACACCGACGTTGTTGATGCTCTCGACTCCTACGACATCTACAACATCAGCAACTCCACCGAGGTCGAGTGGCTCCTGGAAGGTAACTCTGGTGCCTTCCAGCCCTCCTGGAACCCCGACGGCACGGAGCTGGTGTCTGGCTTTGGTGCCTGGTTCGTCAGCCGCAGCACAAACACCGCCAATATCTACCGCACCTTCGCCAACGGTACCTGGCACACCAACCTGACTGATGGATCCGACAACTCTGGTTTCCCCTCCTGGTCTCCCGATGGAACTGCCATCGTCTACCGCAAGTGGAGCCTTGCTACTGAGGCCCCCTTGGGTCTGCACATCCTGAACTTCACCACCGGCAAGACCCACCAGCTCACTGACGGCTGGGACAACACCCCCGGCTGGTCCCCCGACGGCGAGCGCATCGTTTTCACTCGTAACAACAACTGGACTGAGTCCTACGGCGCTCGCTGGTACGCCGATCGCTTCGATATCTACACCATCCGCCCTGACGGATCCGAGTTGACCCGCGTCACTGACAGTCTGTCTAACGATGCTCAGTATGTTTATCTCCTATCTCTTATCACTCACTCATAAGCTAATGAAATATACAGCGCTGTGTGGTCTCAGGACGGCCGTATCATGTGGAGTACCGGTATGTACGGCTTCAAGGATGAGAGCGCTCTCTTCGACGACACTTTCCAACCGTACGGCCAGATCATGGTCATGAACTACGATGGTACCAACAAGACCCTTGTGACGGATACTATCTGGGAGGATTCGATGCCTCTGTACATGCCCAACGAGTACCTTGAGTAGGGTATTCTCATGCTTTGATTGTGTAAATACTTCACTTCTTCAGTTGCTGTATGAAAAGGTCGGGTCTTGTTAGGGACGTAACTGTATCTATAGCTGAAAATGTGTTTATGATTTTATTACTTTACTATCCTCTACATCACCATTTTAAGACTCATTATTTCAATTCCTTGTAATTTGTATCCCGATATTTGCTCTAGCCCGTGAAGTAAGATGCTACATACGTAGGTGCTTCACCTTTTGAAGCAAAGAGAATGGCACGGAACGCCGCAATCCCTCAATTTCGCCAAAACCCACCACATGACGCTTCCTCCGACACAAGGATGTCGTTTCGCTGTCGCTAAACACAACCGAATAGGCAACGCAAATTATAGTCCTACAGAAAAAGGTAGAGATACGACCAATTGTAGCAGCTGACCAGCCATCTGCCTACGAATCCATCCTCATCTGTCCTCCGTCCATGCTCCCCCGTCGATTCTTCCGTAAAAGACAACAACGCACAGACAATTGGACCTTGCATATCCGCCCCTACGTGAAACATACCACAGACACCAATTCTAACCGAGGCCCAGACCCTTCGGCTACAACCGTGACGAACCCTATCGACTTCCCCGATACCCAATGCCAATCTCAATAGTAAGCTCGCTTAGACGAAAGCCAATGTCCGCTCAGACCTCATATTCGCGGAAACTAAGCCCCATGTGGCACCTCCGTGTCAATCAGGGCAAGGGAACGCTTGCCGTGTATCCTAAGAGAGGCTTATCTATTTTGTTGGTTCGGCTCGGGAGTTTGGCTCGGTCGAGACCGTGAAGGATTTTTAGCGCGGTCCACTTTGTGTCATGCTGATAATCAGGCTTGGGGATGGGAAGGTGTATTCGGGGTATGTTGCTTATCTTGTTGATCGAAGGGGGATATTATGTGTAATCAAATTTAGGACTATACCTATTCAATGACTGTCGCGCTAAGTAGGCAAAATAGATAGTGAGAGAGGGGGCTGGGAAGAGAAAGAGAAGAAGGAACCTGCCTTATTCTACGAGACCGGAGCTCCCATGCCATGACCAAGAAGCGTTTGGGGGCTCTTTGTTATCCAACACGTTTCTGGACGTGTTAGCCCTCCTACCCCTTACATTCATGTACTCCACGATGACAGCGTTATCGAGGTAAGGTTGTGTGTGAGAACTAACCATCTCGCTTTATCCATATTGACCAATTATTGTCCCTAATGTGCAGCAAATCTCAGCCCTACACCGTGACAAGGACCAGTGTTGCGAAGACGACTTCCTTATTTAACCACATGGGCACCACAATCCTACGGTCCGCTATGTTGGGCCTCGTGCTGTGCTAGAAACGGCTCGCTCGCGGATGGTCATGGGGGCTTCACGATCGTATTTTACCTGATAACACTAACATGAGCAGTGGCACAATTTGATGGTACAGATCTTCTTACCTGAGCTCTTCCTGACAAGTTTCACTTTCTGGCGACCGCGAAAGTTGACTATTCGAAAACGGATGTCCTCGAAGCGCCTCCCAGACAAAAAGACATTATAACACCACCTTAAGTTGCAAACAAGCGCCCATATAACTCAAAGGAAATATTCAGTATCAATCAAGATGAACGATCAATTTGATATTCAACTCCCTGTTCCGGTCAACGACAATCAAGAAGGCAAGGACAATCTAATTAAGCAACCTGTTGTCGGGGAACAGTAAAAGAGGAAAAGGAAACCCTGAGACAAAAGAAAATCCTGTGGCTCCTGTGCGAATGTGGCATATATCCTCCGAAACTCGCAACGGAAGCTATTTGGTGTTTAACCCCGCTGGATTGTGCTACTTCGTGTGACACATCTCACCAAAAAATGGCTTTCTTATGCCTCGTGTAACCCAGCTCGTTCAGGATAATATGGCACTATGCCCCTTTCCTTTGTCTTCACCACGGATTGTATTCCCACGATTTCGTCGCACTCTGTTGCTCTTCCTCTTCTGCAGAAACATGTTAGCTAACTATTATGCGGGTTTGAAACGCGAGAAAGAACGATAACCATCCAACAGCGACGAAGTTCGAACACTGGGTATAACCCGACCGGTATTGATAACAGGGTCACCTCCCCCAGCAGAAACATGGGCAAGAAAGAGCTGCAGAGGAGTATGATCGGGTGAGAAAGCAAGAATGTTCTTGAGAGATAACCAACTTCCTATCCGAAAACGCAGTATGGTTGAACTACTTTACCTTTTCTGAAACACAAACACCCAGTTTTCTCCGCCCTACATGTTCAGACATGTTATCCTTTCGGTTGAACCGCCTCGGGCAATGCGGACACTGATACCTCCCTGGATGGATATGAAGGGTTCTAATGTGTCGATAGAGTTCTTGTACCCTCCCGAAAGGGTCCTCCCTCGTGCAGCCCGGCCAATGACATCGCAGGTCAATCTCGCTAACATGCAGTCAGGTCATGTATAAGGGGCGCCATGAGCCTGTCGATTTCGAGTGACATACCTTGGTTCGATCATTTCATCATTAACAGGCCCAATAATGCCATCAGTCAGTTCATCCACGTGGTTTTGCATACCCATCTGCACAACGGATTCAAAGACGCCGCCAAACAATTCCGGATGCTGCTGGTTGACCAGGGTGTTGATCTGGTAGTTGACGAACCCAGGATTCTGCGTCCCCAACTGCGCAACTGATTGGAATGCAACATTGGACAATTGCGGCTGCTGCTGATTGACCCAGACATTCTGCTGGTAGTTGCTGGGTTCAGGATATGGATACTGGCCAACGGGGTTCTGCAAGAAAGAAGCATTGTTTCCTGCCATAGCTGGCTGGTATGATGCCACCTGAGAGCTAGGCAGGTTGACACTATCCTGGAGCATTGAGATATCGGCATCATAGCTCATCGGACCTGCAGAAGCAGCGACGGGTTGCGCAGTGGTATTCTGATAGCGATCGGTCTCATCAGGATAACCAAAATCGGAGACATTTGCGTGCCGAAGTCAAAGCCTGGGTATATTGTTCCAACGACTGGCTGGAATATTGGGCTTTCTGAGTACGTCAAAGCCTGCGGCTTATTGTTCCCATTCCCTCGACTCGGTAGATTATGAGAGAATCGCCTGCTGTGGGGATATCGTGGTTCTATCGTTCAAAGAAACCCACATTAATACCCGGTTATGTTCTCTGTGCCTTTCCTCTCCAGTCAGTGTGGGTCGATGATCAGGTCCTAGGTTCCGCAACCGCCATTCCACAATCGCACATTTATCTTCAACCTTGCCCACTCCTGTACTGTAGACATGATGAGACCGAGAAAACGGAGAATTTAATATGCTGCTTCCATGCAACGAGCCACCAGCAACCTCATTCCAAACTCCAGGCATCACAAAGCCTTAGAAACAAGAAATGAGTATCAACCACGCTGTAGCCTTAGCGCATTCTGCTTTTGCTCTGCCGAACAATATATTCTGACAATTGTTCTATATAGATCGAGAAATTATATGTTCGCAAGCGCGGAGATGTTCGTAGTGCAGGTTTGCAAGAGTTCACGTGCTATATACTTCGTCCTTCATTTGATGAAGATAGTGGAGAAGCTTTTGAAATGAAAGCAACGTCCATCATATCCTTCGATAACAACTTCAAACTCAACCCAATGCATGTATGCGCAGAACAACCACAAAGGTTGTTGGTCTGGGTTATAATCCGGCAACATTCCTTCTTCTCTTCGCCCTTTTTCTTTTTTTGAATACGGGAATTCATTAGAGCTCGACACAACGATGCAAAAGAGAGCCCAATGAATGCAAATTCCCTGTGTCGAGGTAGTGAAAACGTCTTTGTGCTGCATATGTCTTGGACCCGTCGTAGGTCTCCTGCTCGTTGTACCATTATGATGACTTCTGTCTTGAGAAAGCTTCTATATTTCATTTCAAAGCCCCTTTTTCGCAGGCTTTTGGAGATTATATGTACCTTTGTGGCATATGGGTGCTTGGGGTTCCTGAAATCAAGTACTTCCGTGAAGCCCTTCTCAGTGTCACTGACTGTAAACCTTTAATGCTGTTCTTTCGGCACTTCTTGGGTATGTTCGGAACCGGCTATGGAGCGTTGTTCAGGCATCTTCTCATGCTGAGTAGCCAGATCAGAAGCATCGATCATCATGTCATCCTGGTCTTGGCCATTTAGGTGTTCGCTAACTTATATACTTCATGTAGCTTTGATTACCTACTATACTCGAGGTTGAAGCCTACAGACTGGTAGAAGCACAGGACTTATGGTACTGCTTATGTACTTTGGGAGGTGCAGCTAAGGTAATGTGTAATCCCTGATCAGGACGGGATAACCCTGGATAGTTCCTCCAAATCCCGTCGTCACATAGCTTGGTTGATGGAGCTTGCCAGTTTATGGGTAGCCCAAGGGGGAGCAATATGGAAGATCGCGGGAGTGAGGAATTGATTTTTTCTGATGCTTTTCCATTTTCTAATAGACTTTTGATCTCCTCGTCTTACTTCTTATCGACTAACACCATGAATGCTTATGTTAACATATTCTGAAGCCTATTTTTGTCCTACACAGAATCTCTATCTTGGAAATCGATGTTGCACTCATCGCCATTTTTGTACTGAATACAGTTGATAAACCTAACCATTTCAAGTTTCAAACATCTCCGACCACTCCTCCCTAGGTCTTCCCAGCATCCTCAATAACCGACTCCGCAATCTTCACAGCCATGGCATAAAACACCGTCATAACATGCGACGACAGCTGCGTCGGCGGAATCGATCCATCCACCACTCTCAGCCCCTTCACATCATACACCTTAGCCTCCGAATCAACCACACCACCAAGGTCCCTCTTCATCATAGAGCACGTACCCACCCCATGATAATTAGCACGATAGTTCTGCTTCACATAATCGGCCCATTGACTCAGATTCGCCCCCTGTGGCACATACCTCCCCGGAACCTGCTCCTTGTCCACATACTGTTTCATGTCATGCGTATTTGTCAATTGCCGTGCCAGCCGCGTAGCAGCAGCTTGGCCGTACAAGTCTAGGATGTTTTCGAAGTAGCGTGGGTTGTATTCGAAGCTGCGGAGGTAGGGGTCATTATCTAGGATCTTGACGTACCCCCGGGTGAATGGGATGAGGTTCCACAGGTCGAAGTGGGTGCTGTTATCGGTGTCGAGGAATAGCTCGGCGTAGGATACTTTGTCGGTTAGGAGCCAGTCTCGGTAGTTCTTGTACTGTTTTAGGAGGTTGGCCTTGTCGGGGAATCCGTGGCCTTTGACTGCGTGTTCGGCCCATTTGTCCAACGCTTTGTCGTCATTCAGGATCTTTTTCATCTGTTCAGCTTCGTCGCCGAAGATCTCTGCAAAGGTTGCAAAGTAAGCAGCTTGGCCTTGGCCGTTCCCTGCTGGTTTCGGCTTGGTAACTACAGAAGTAGTTGTTTGATCTTGCAGGTTATATCCCACTGGAAGGTCCAACTTCTGTTTGATTCCTGCCGCATCAAGCCAGGTTTTGGGGCCAATCCCCGACCACTGCAGGATAAGAGGAGAGATGGTGGATCCTGCAGCCAGAAGGACTTCATTTCTAGCCCAAGCATCCCACTTCCACTCCGGCTTCTTATGCACTCCAAACTCCACACCCTTCGCCTGCCACTTTGCCCCCATCCTCACAGCCGCACCACTATCCAAATGGACCTTCCCAACCAGCTCCCCCGTCAAAACAGTGATATACTCCCTCAACTCCTGATCATCCAAAATCGGCTTCAACCACGACCTCGCAGCATCTGTCCTCACCTGCTCATTAGTGAGCGTATTCAAGAACATCGACACCCCAGTCGGATTTCCACAACACAGATCCTTCTGATTCACCACCCCACTATACGTCTTCTTCACCGTGCTCATCAACGCCCCTATCAACGGCGACCACCCATACCCCCGATCCCTCGCCCCAACCTTAACCCTCCCCTTATCCGGCTCCTTATTATGACACTCAGTATCAAACCTATGCAACGACCCCTTCGTAATATTATCCGTCTTCGGATCCCTCGGCACCTCAATCTCATCCATCTTCCCCTTCAGCGCGTCCCAACTCCACCCCGTATTCCCAAAGACCTTTTCCCACGAATCTAGCTGCGACTTGTGAGGTCTCGTCCACGATCCGCCATTAATTAGTGTTGACCCTCCGAGCCCATTGCCTGACCGAACGAGTCTGATATCCTTATCTAAACCGGTTTCCCCGTCGTTCCCGACAAGCTGCGGACTAGTCTCATAGGCGTGGTCAACGCTGCTGCCGAATACTTGGCCGTAGGTATTGAGATCGTCGATCTTGGGTCCGTATTCCCAGGCGTAGAACCCGCTTTCGATTACTAGGACGGTGTATTTCTTCTCCGAAACTAGCTTTGCGGCGAGAGTTAGGCCGGTGAGTCCTCCGCCGGCGATTATGTAGTCGAAGGTTTGGTTGTGTATTGTGCGGGGGTCGTCCGTGATGCCGTGGGGGATGGTGTTGGTGTTGATGTTGCGGTTGGGGTCATCATGGAGGTGGTCTTTGGGAGTGAAGGACAGTGATTCAGTTGGCTGCAGAGGGGCTTGGAACTGCTCTGCCAGGACATTGGAGAGAAGTAAAGCTGGAGCAAAGAAGATCAGCTGCATCTTGGTGATTAGTGCAGCCCACGGGGTCAATTTTGCATTAGGCAGGTTAACCATCTGGCCGTCGTTTGGTCGACAATGAATGAAGGTAGACGATATATGTCCCAATTTTTTAGCCACATAAAGGTAGACCGTTCCAGACCTATACTGCTGCCATGATCAAGTGGCTTATCCATAGTCTAAAGTCCAGGGTGGCATGTTGATAGCTGATGGCCAGGCCCTACGCCACTTGTTCATGTCGCCAGCTATAGAAAAGCTTGTTGGCATAATAGGAGGCTAAGACATTCAGTTGAATAAGCACTGACCTCACTACTTAACTAACAAATTAAGCCTTGGCGACCTAGTGGTTAGTTAGTACTGCAAGCATCTTGGGGGTGTGGGGAAAAAAAGGAAAAGCAAAAAAGAAAGCCCAACGCGGGGCTCGAACCCGCAGCCTTGAGATTAAGAGTCTCACGCTCTACCGATTGAGCTAGCCGGGCTAGTTCGGTGAAAGCAGAATCATAAAACTGCCTTATAAACACTTGCTATAGGGGGACAGGGTTTTCTACTTCGTTAGACTCGGGGAGTCATGATAGTGGGCCTGTGCATAGAAAATGAAATAGAACATAGACGGGTAGAAAATGGCTACAGGTGTGTATAGAATACTACCAATTCGGATCGGAAGTCATCCATCACCTAATGTTTTCTATTTCGTCACTACTAATCTATTCTCAAGAGCTAGATTCCCAAACTGTTCACAGTAGCCAGCAATATTGCCTTTGGTGGTGGATGTCGAGCCGGGCCTGGATCGCAACCCGCTCGTTCCACTTGCTGGGGGGTTTTCACTCTGCCATGCAATGGCTGACGCTGAGCATCATGAACCTGTTGTCCTAGACATCCCTATCACATTCCACCTAAAGCGTAGTGATTGATTATTGAGCGTGTAAACACAAACGATCATGAGTGACGATACTTTCGTGGCTTCATATCTGACATACCAATGACCCCGACTCCCAACTCTATTTTTCTTCGGCCGAAACACACCACAAACAACCACGATATACATCAAAGTCTAGATTCAATTCTACTATCAAATAGGTCCGTATGTACCAACCATTGATCGGAGTTTCTAGCTTGTTTCAGCTTGTTTCTCCAAGGCCAGTTCATACGCCGTTGACCGCTCTACCTTGTTAGCAAGTAAACAAAGTCAAACACTTTTCCAGTAGTAAAAGCACCCTCATTACCGGAATATATATACCCTCCTATTTTATTGGCCCTCCTACCCATTTCATACTAATGCGTCCTACCATCCAATCAGTTCCTGTGCGACACGCACTTGCATCAGGCAGGTGTGCCAGTTCACCTTTCAGCCCGACATGTGTGCCCTACCTATGGTATATAGTTATCCCCAACGCTCTGATACAGCATGCCTTTGGCATGACATAGTCCGAAAATATGTTCTTACACCCATGGTTATTTCGAATACATAACATACCGGTCTGCGATGCGATCGACATGATGGTTGTCGTCTGGTTATATATATTTATACTACCCATGATACCACTTCAACGGATGAAAGACGATGTTCAATCGAGGGAAGTTTGAACGAATATGAATTCAACATGAGAGGTGATATTTAGCTAAATAACTATTAACCTAGCAACACAACCCAGCAGA